AAATGTATAATTAGGTTGTAAACACTTTATAAATCATTAAGAACCATTTATAAACCAGTTCTAACATAGTTTTCATACATCAACACAGGCTCACTATTTGGCAAGATGACTAAGCCTTATATTGGTTACCTAGCTTACTTCATCTTCTTCATCAGCCAACATCCTTGGTATCTGTTGTTCACTGAGTTGATTCCCCCCCTTCCATCTTGATGTTTCTTGGCATCTCTTTATGACCATTTATTTACGAGTTACTAACATGTATAGTTGCCAAAAGGGAGCCTTATTGTAAAGTGTAAAACACATTCCCATTTATTAAATGAGTTACAACCATTTCTAATAAGGCTTAGCAGTACAGATACATGTGGGTTCACTATTTGGCAAGCAACCGGTAACAGTTGCCCTGTTTATCTCATGTCTTATAAAAGCTTATGAAGGATTTATAAAGTATTCACAAACTAATTAATAAATGAATTACAAACTATTTGTAAACCCTTTTATAAGGGTAGTCTTATTGTAAAGTGGTACCGAAATGTGTATGCATCTGCTTGCTCTTATTTACTGCAATTGATTGGATTAATAGTCAATTCACTTTTTGCAACGTCTTTTTGTATTGTATTGTATTGGAGGACAAAGCTCATAAATGTGTATATTTAGCATATGCGTAATTGCCTATATGGGGGTAACCAAGTGTCTGACCTTACCATACGGATCCACATGGGCATGCAGTGGGTGTTGGCCGAGCGGTGGTGCAGATTGAGGACAACCACACTGAGGATGACTGAACATGTGACCAGGATCATAGTGAACATGATGTAGTTGACGATGATGGGGACACCCAGTGAAGTCTCAGGGATCTTATCAGCCAGCAGCAGCAGGAACACAGTGAGGGTGAGCAACACGTTGATGGACAGACCCATCTTCTCTCCTGGTCAGAGAAACAAAAAAACAGCATGTTTCACAAAGCAAAGAAGATAGCAGTTTAGCACCAACTGCTCTGATTTTGTCATTCACCAGTAATTACTCGAATGGAAAATGCATCTACTGTGAAGCTGATTGGCCAATAGATCAAGGTGTACTTAGTGGTTACCCACAAACTGTGTACCACACCTTGTCTATAGTTGGCAGGTAAATGGAAATTGATGTGCATTAGGGCCGTGCACGCTCCCACAGTGGGTAAATGTCAAAGCAGTGGCATTTCCCTCAATCACTTCGTTGACGTAAATCACCGCAAAGTTCAAAATGTCAAAGGGTTTTTATGAAGAGAAGTGGAAAAATAGGTTTTCTTTTTCACTTTTACAAAATATATACTGTATTACCTCTAAACATTTGTATTTTTTGTGAATTTTTGGAATGTCATTTCCCCATTTAATATAAGACCAATTCCCTATAGCTATAGTATATGGTATGGCAATTATACAGTATATGCCTCAAACAGCTTAAATGAGTAATTTAACATGGTTTTGCACTGTGTGAGTGAAAAGTAAAGAAGTTTCTTATTGGACCCACGCGCCAGGGTTAGGATGAAGTGGTTGAAGTGGACAAGTAAATAATATTAATAATGAACCTTTTTTGGAATGTGTTTTGTTAACAGTCTGTAAGTATAATTTCTTACCCAATGAATTTTGTGAAACAAGTCGATAAGAAAAATCTTGTTGAACCATGTAAGTGTTGTGTACGAAGTACATTCTGGGGCTGATTTCTACTGTTTAATTTGAGTGGATATTGATTTTGCGGTGCTCTATGGGAAACTGATATCTAATCTGAAATGGAATACCCTTGTGACAGTAATTGGAGAAGTATGTGATTGCCCAATGTACCCATACCAGAGAAACACAATTACAAAATGGCATCAGGAGCTTTATAAGAGTGGATCACATCAGTCCGGTTCTGAAATCTTTACATTGGCTTCCAGTCGGCTAAATAATTGATTTTAAAGTACTATTGCTAGTTTTTAAATCATTACATGGTTTAGGACCAAAGTATAAAACAAAACATGGAGAGGCAGCGTTTAGCTATTATGCCCCGACAATCTGGAACAAACTACCCAAATCATGCACGTCTGCAGAAACTCTTACTATTTTTAAATCGAGACTGAAAACATATCTCTTTGCCGCTGCTTTTAATTGAGCTGCTCATATTCGCACTACAGTATGTCATTTAAACATGCATTGTATACTTGTTGTGTTTATTTTATTATCTTTGCTTTTTAATGCCTGTTGTAAAATGCCATTACTGTATATATGTGTTTTTACTGCATTTATTCCTCAAAAGTCTTTTAATTTGTTTTGTAAAGCACTTTGAATTGTCACGTGCTGAAAAGTGCTATATAAATAAACTTGCCTTGCCTATAGACGATAATCAGGCAATTCAACCCTAACTCAAGCTTGATCAAAGTGGAACATGTGTGTACTACCAGTCAGATTATATCATAGTTAAACTGGTTTGAATGTTTCATTATGTATGGTTGCTATACCTGCGTCAGGAGGCAGGTAGAAGTTGAAGATGGCGATGATGGTGATGAGGATGCAGGGGAGGATGATGTTCAAAACGTAGTACAGAGGCTTCCTCTCCAGGATGAGGTAGAAGGTCATGTCCTCATAGTCATCGTCGTTCATGTTCCTCCTGCACGGCCTGTGTATGATTTGCCACTCGCCACCCTCTGGAAAAACATTTGGAGAATTTAGATTAGCAAAGGGACATACATCTGCATACCAAGGGTCCAAACTATCACGACCTGTCTTTGTTTCCTGTTTTATTTTGAAGAGTGTTCACCCTCTGTCTGTTTTTACTTCCTGTCTTTGTGTTTTCCCTCCTGTTTGATCACCTTATTGTGTTCACCTGATGCCTTTGTGTTTTGCCTTCCCTTCCCAGCTGGGTCTTGTCCTTGTGATTAGTATTTAAGTACTGGTTGTCTGTTAGTTGTTGTCAGATCCTGTCAGATGTCATTTGTGGAAGTGTTCTTTTGATTGTCCCATGGAGAGTTTTGTACTGTCTTTTGTATGTTAAAAGTAAATACGTATTAATCCACATGAATCCCAATACTACATATGAGTGTACGAGAATATTTGAAAATAAATACAATTGTCTTTATTATAAACTTGTTAGGCTTTAACATCTATCACGGTGTATATCACCATTCAAACATGTTTAAATACGTTTAGGAACACAGTCTGTAAACACTATGAAATGTTGACTTTATTTGATAATTTTACAGTGAAAAAGTA